TAAAAATTATACTCAGTAAGCCACCTACTTGTAGGCTCTTACCGCACCCTAAACTTAGCAGACGATCACGGGCTTTCCTTTGGCTCTAGAACAACTGAAATCGGGCCTTACCTCATTAGGGCTTTCTCTCTTGGAACTTATCCCTTTGGTCCTCTTTGGTTCCTAGACCTTTTATTTAAACCCATAGAGTTCCTTTTAAGCTAACCTGTGTTGGACTGGTGCCTTACGAGTGGCTACCTCGGCATGGGTATGAGATTATCTGGGGTCTTGCCTAGGAAGTGAGCTGCAACCCCCTAGACCCATGATAATCCCCCTGTATTTGGGAGGGCTACCTCCCCTATTCCATCCAGCTAAACGGTCAATTACGACGTGGGTATCCCGTTTCCCATACTAAACGGCTATCGAGCAGTCGAGTCCTGATCAGGAACCCGCTGGTCCCCCACGAAGCTATATCACCATCCACACACAAGTAGCTTAAGGGTACTCTAAGGATGTTTCATGTGCCGTGATGGTCTGATAAACTAATAGGGAAAGGTTAAGTCGATCCCTTGATGGTTTGTCGCTCTAACCATTGTCTTCTAGTCTTATTCATAAAGGTGGCCCTAAAAATAACCGAGTACGTACATAACTATTATCCAAAAACCTCAAACATATTTCATGCAAAGTAATCATACAAGCTCGACGGGGTGATAACATCCATCAATTCCCGGAGCACAGAGTTCGCAAATTTTCCATTCTCCATTCAGCAAAAAGATATACATATGCATAAAATAAAGTGGGAATTAAGAGCATATAAGCAGTATCCAAGTAACTCTCATAACAAATCACAGCATACATCTTACGTTCAATAAACTATTTCCTACGAACATTTACGGGAAAGCTACAACCTAAAATATTCAGACTAGCATGCATGCATCCCAAGCGGTTCCTACAAGTATTACTTCCTAAATTCCGTGTGGCGACTTACTTGGATGCTACGTGCCCTTACGCAGCGTTTCCACACACTTGGCGTAACGAGAGGGGGTGATTTTTCCTCAATAAGGTCCTATTTCATACAAACAAATGGAGTTAGGATATGAATCAGGGGAAACTAGGGAAAACAGAAGCCGATCGGGCCAAAAACAGCTTACACGCGCCTCCACGCGCCAGTCACGCGCTGGGGAGCAGCCACTCGCGGGTTCCACGCGCGAGTGTCACGCGCCCAGAAATTCCTGCAGTCGCGGGTCGCGGGTTCGGGTCGGAAGCGGTGATTCGGGTGGACCGCGGGTCGTCAACTGGATTCGGTTCGCCGTGCGGGTATCGGGTCAGCCAAGGAGCGCGGGTCGGGTCGCGGAGCCAGGGACGCGTGTCGCAGGAGCGCTGGAGCCGCGTTTTCCCAGGCGGCGCTCGACGCGTGTCCGGGGGCGATTGGCGCACGCGGCCCTCTGGTTGGTTGACGCGTGGCACGCCGGCGGCTTCTCTCTCCTCCTACCAGAAAATCAAGGCTTCCGATTAGTTTTTCCGAGGTTTCTTTCCATTTTCTATCTTTCGATTCTTAACCCAAACAGAGGTGGTTTCTTCAACAAAGTTATAGATCATCTATCAACCTACGTGCCAATATTATTTTCTTGATTTTTGCTTAGTCACACAATGAGTTTCGAGCGTCGAAAAGAGGTTCGGTAACAACCTTACCGTTCTTGGATAGTCTCTCAGATCTCGTCGTTCCGTCCGTTTCCCTCACCAAGATCGGTAGCGAATCCTCCCTGGACAAAGGTAGTAGACTTAACCATTCTACTCCTAAACAAAGATCTAAGATCTGGAAGGTATAGTTCGAAATCTTACTTTGCGGGTTTTCTTTCTGATCTTGAGGAAGGAGGAGGAAATCTCCACACGAGTTCTTACTTCACTCCAAGAAGGGCTCCAGAGTACAGGTCTTGGTAGGAAATGGATTCCGTCGGCGACTCTCCGACGAAAACTCCGGCAAACCAGTTTTCTCTCTCAAACTTTCTCTCAGTTCTTCTCTCTCACTCTTCTTCTTTTGCAGGTACTCTGAGGGGAACGCTCAAGACCCCTATAATGGGCTGAGGGGTAAAATGTCCTTTTTGCCCCTCAGCCGTTTTTTTTTTGGACGTTACAAACTCTCCCCTCCTTAAAAACTTTCGTCCCCGAAAGTTGGTATCCCTTGGAAGAGTTCGGGATAGGTTCTCCTTACGTCTTCTTCTCGTTCCCAGGTTGCCTCCTCGTGTCGATGGTTACCCCATGCGACTTTTACCAAGGGAATAACTTTGTTGCGCAGACGCCTAGTGTCTCGAGCCAGAATTTTGCTGGGTCTTACCTCGTAGGACAAATCTTCCCGAAGAGGGAGGGTTTCGTGTTCAATCACGTGAGTAGGGTCTGAGGTGTACTTTCGCAGCATAGATACGTGGAACACGTTGTGAACGGCGGCAAGGTTTGGTGGTAGAGCAATCTTATACGCCACGGCCCCAACTCTCTCTAGAATCTCGAAAGGGCCTACAAACCTTGGGCTTAACTTCCCTTTCTTTCCAAACCTCATCACCCCTCTCATAGGGGCTACCTTCACGAACACATGGCCACCCACCTCGAACTCGAGGTCCCTTCTACGCAAATCTGCATAGCTCTTCTGCCGGCTTTGTGCAGTGAGGATTCTTTGCTTAATTTTCTGCACTGCCGCGTTGGTGACCTGAACTAACTCCGGTCCCAGTAGCTGCTGCGTGCCTACTTCTTCCCAAAATACTGGTGTTCGACACCTACGCCCATACATCGCCTCAAAAGGGGCCATCTGGATGGTCGCTTGATAGCTATTATTATAAGCAAACTCTATCAGAGGTAGATGTTCATCCCAGCACCCAGCGAAATCCAAGACACAAGCTCGCAACATATCTTCCAAAATTTGATTCAATCTTTCAGTCTGTCCGTCCGTCTGAGGATGGAATGCTGTACTAAACCTTAACTGAGTCCCCAATGCTTTTTGGAGGCTTTTCCAGAACTGAGAGGTGAATCTAGTGTCCCGATCAGACACTATAGACACCGGTACACCATGCAAGCGTACTATTTCTCTGATATACAGCTGAGCCCACCGATCCACACGATAAGTGGTTTTGCCTGGGATGAAGTGAGCCATTTTGGTAAGTCTATCAACAACTACCCAGATTACGTTGAAGTTCTGCTTAGTCTTGGGCAAGCCTGAGATAAAATCCATGCAAACTGCTTCCCATTTCCATTGCGGAACCTTTAGGGGTTGTAGCAGTCCTGCTGGACGCAGCCTCGGGGCCTTCACCTGCTGACAGGTCAAGCATCGGCTTACAAATTCTGCTATCTCCTTTTTCATCCCTGGCCACCAATAACATCCCTTAAGATCCTGATACATCTTTGTACTTCCAGGGTGGAACGTATAAGAAGTATCGTGAGCTTCTGTCATAATATCCTTAAGAATTTTCTTGTCACGGGGAACGCATAAGCGATTTTTTTCCACAGCAGACCCCCATCTGAAGAGATTGAGTACCCCTCTGGTCTTTCAATCTCCGTCTGATTCCACAGCTTTTCAAGGTGTTCGTCAGACCTCTGAGCGTCAATAATCCGTCTTCGTAAGGTAGGTTGCATGGTCATTTGTGTTATCCGAGCAGTACCACCTTTGATTACAACATCGATTCCAGCCCTCTTCATCTCATCCTGTATTCTCTCCTGCTTAGTGATCATAGCGGAAGTATGAACTGCCTTTCTGCTCAATGCGTCCGCCACAACATTGGCCTTGCCTGGATGATACAGGATCTCGATGTCGTAATCTTTTACTAATTCCAACCATCTCCTCTGCCTCATGTTAAGTTCCTTTTGCGTAAATAGGTACTTGAGACTTTTGTGATCGGTGAATACTTGAATTTTCTCTCCATACAGATAATGTCGCCACGTCTTTAGTGCAAACACCACTGCTGCTAACTCGAGGTCATGAGTAGGATAATTCTTTTCATATTCCTTCAGTTGTCTGGAAGCATAAGCTATCACTTTACCCTTCTGCATGAGCACGCATCCAAGACCTTTTCCCGATGCGTCGCTGTACACCACAAGATTTCCTGATCCATCAGGGACTGTGAGGACTGGAGCTGTCACTAACCTCTCCTTGAGTTCCTGGAAGCTCTGCTCACAGGCTGATGTCCACAAAAAAAAAGGCTTGCCTTTCTTAGTTAACTGAGTCAGTGCTGAAGATATCTTGGAGAAATCCTGGACGAACCTTCTGTAGTA